CCTTACCTCTAAAAATGTTTCTGGCTTTCTAACTATGCGACAAGAGCTGTTACAAATTCCTCCAAGCTAGTCATTAACTTTCTCACGGGAATGGTGTTGGTACTTTGAGTGAAATTGACATTTAACTATTCAGAATATAACGTTATACGATACGTCATTTGATAGATGAAAACCTTGACTTTCTATTGGTCATAGGTAATACATAATTACACGTAAGAGAAAACTATTAATGAATTCTGAAACAGAGGATGTGACAGGTGGGTCTGGCAGGAGGGGTCTGATTTTCTATTTCATAGCACTGTAATCAAACAAAATTATAGACTGAAAATTGTGGTTTGTCTGAGCAATAACGATTTTATAGAGAGTAATTTACATTTAATTTTGTACTTTTTTGAAGGGTGGTGGATAAAATAGGGATGATGACATGCTAAGACAAAATGTGTCATGTGGGTCACACTAGTAGAATTCAGGATTTTTTCTAATATTGCATTGTAGAATTAAGAACTTAAAACTTGTATACTATTAAAATATGAATTATTAACTAAGATCTTATGCTATTCTAATTGGTATAACATAAACAAAAACTAGTTTAATAAAATTTTGAATGTAAGACACTAAATCCTTTTGTCATGCTCAGTGAAGGATCCCCGTGGTGATAAGGTTAAATGATAAGAATTTCCTTTTTTACAATAAATAATTAGAAAACTAATTCACACTGATTCATGGGGTGTAACATTTTTATTTTGTAAATATGGTACATTAAAAAAGAATAAGTAATGGCTTCTACTTTGTTTTATCTTTGAACCATCTTTATACAGTTTTAATTTTTTTTTAGCACAACCTATGGTGAAAATCAAGTTATGTGAAGTTGATCATGTTATTTTAAAGTAATTTCACATTGTAATATTAGTTTTCATCCACTAGTGTGAACTGTTTAATTTCAACAAATAAAGGACTATTTGTATCAGATGATTAAAAATATTGCAATATTAGTAAACAAAGATATTTACCCAGGTGGCTCACTTCTTGTGTCAATTGCAGTTATTGGACAACATTTGATAATGGAAGTGTTCTGGTAGCTATAACTTTCACAACTGTAAAAAATGTACGTTATCAATTTATACCAATAATGTGATGCATGCTGTTTACGGTATACTTTGAAGTTTCACTGTAGTACTGGTGAATTTATTTGTTCACATTATTCAAAAATCCTAAAGAATTACATCTGTTGTTCTTTTTTAATATTTAGTTAGTCAGCTGTGTTGTTTCCTGTTATAAAAACTCTGGGGATCACAAACTAATAAACATTGCTTGGTTGATAACAATGATACAGCACACCTTCCTGCACTCATACAAGTGGAAGAGGCTATGTGCATCTGTTCTACATTCCTCAAGTTGAGTTTCTCTTGCTGTATAATGGGGAGGAGCAACTGAAAGATCCAGATCTAGTATTGATGCTCCCTGCTATGCAGTGAGGTAAAGACCAACAGATGCACATAACCTATTCCAATTGTATGAGTAGTTATGAGTGCAGGAAGGTGTGCTCTATAAGATTATAGTAGCTAATTGTGGCATTCATTCACTACTATAATCTTATACTATATGACTTGTCATCACTATGGTATAAGTCATCTCAAAGCGTACACATAGTCCAGAATAAGGACATTCAGTGGAACAGACATATTCTCCCAGTCTGTGAGACAATCCATCAATAGTTCTATGTTGTAAGCTCTTTACATGCTGTTATCCAGCATGATATCATCCTTTTGAGGTTTTTAGGTTCATCAACCATTTCAGCAATGCATGGTCCACTTGAACAGTAAACTTGTTACCATACAAGTATTGTTGAAAGTGTTTTACAAACACCACAGCTTTAAGCAGTTCTTTCTTTATACAGAACCTGCCTTGAGCATAAGACTAATGTATGTGTTTACATGTTCTTTTCCATCCTATTACTGTGATAACATTGGTTCAATTCCATTATCACTGGCTATGATGTCTTGCAGAAACTTACAATTTCGTCATGGTTATGCCAACACAGTTTTATACTAAAGAACACTTATGGGACTGGAATGCTTGCTCACATTTCTTATTCAATCTGAAGCATGTCTCTGCTTTAGTGAGAGCTTATAATTGTGAATGACCTTAGAGGAGTTGGCCACATGTTTTCGGTAATATTATGAAACTGAGGAAACTGCAGACATCTTGACTGATCACAGCAGATTGAGACTAATCTTACACTTTGACATTTTAGCAGGATCCATGGAGATTCCTTCTCTAACCACAATGAAATCAAGAATTTCCACTTCTTTTTGGATCAACTCACACTTTTCTGGTTTCAGATTCAACCCTGCCTCTTTTTTTTTATCCTCCAGAATACCATTCTCAGGTTCTCAGCTGCAGACTGGAGTGTGTGACTAAACATTAAGACATCGTTGACATAGATCAGGAGTTTCTTCCATTGCAGCCCATTCAGTGTAAGGTCCATCAGACTCTCAAAAATGGTGGGCATTTTACATAAACCAAATGGCATGTTTCTCCTATTCAGTGTAAGGTCCATCAGACTCTCAAAAATGGTGGGCATATTGCATAAACCAAATGGCATGTTTCTCCTATTCAGTGTAAGGTCCATTAGACTCTTGAAAATGGTGGGCATATTGCATAAACCAAATGGCATGTTTCTCCCATTGCAGCCCATTCAGTGTAAGGTCCATCAGACTCTCAAAAATGGTGGGCATAATATATAAACTAAATGGCATGTTTCTCCCATTGCAGCCCATTCAGTGTAAGGTCCATCAGACTCTCAAAAATGGTGGGCATATTACATAAACCAAATGGTATGACATGAAACTTGTATAAGCCATCTCTTATGCTAAAATCAATCTTTGATCTGCTCTCATCAACTAGTTCAACATATAGATGATAAGTCTATTGTGTTGAACTAACAGGACCCTTCCATTGAATCCAGAGAGTAATTGAAAGGTGTCAATGCAAATTACCATATTCACCCATTAACGTCAAGGCAGAACCTGGATGCACCTTCCCTCTTCCTGACAGTGACTACTGGAGGTGATCAAGTACTCTAAAGGCTGTATGATCCTGTCATTTAACATTCACTGTACTTCAGTGCTTGCTACATCCAGGGAAGCCTGTGCACCAGTTGTTTAATCTTACATGCATCACCTGTGTCTGTGTGATGATGTGTGACCCAATTGGCCATCTGGTCCCTCAAATACTTAGGCATATTTCATCAATAATTCATTGAATTACTGCCCTGTATTGAGTCTAGATTGTCAGCAAAATAGCAAATAGCAATCTCAGATGTGTTGGTAATCGTATATTGACTTTCAGGCAGGCACTATGGATGCAACCCTAGCATTACCACTAGCATTGGTTACTCCCACTTTGCTAACCATGCCATGATTGTGTGCAAAATTGTAGAACAACACTGGGATTTTACCCCCCACTCAGATAATTGTCATACTTGATGTTTTTTGGTCACGAAACAGCTTATTTCACGTGTGAACCCTATAACCCCATGCACCAGACTTCCTTATAATAAACCATGGAACACCACATCTGTACATGGGGGTACTTTGACATCCTTTCCCACAAACACTTATACAACCCATTATTACTGCAATCATCCTAGCTAACATTAGATAACTACCATGGAACACCATTTGTACAGTTAAAACTGACTGTTAATCTTGGTAATTTGTCCATCCCAAGGATACTGGAGCCAAAACTGAGGTCTGTCATGATATAAAACTGTTTAGTGTAGATATTAATTTATTTATTTTGTGAGTGAATATTTTACGATTGTTTAGTTTTGTTCATAACAAGAGAGTTAGAAGCAATTATTTTAAAGTAAATTTTATGACAAGTTTAGTTACATAACTCGGTACGAGTTGTATATTGTGCTTGTAACTCATTGATGTCGAGAGTATTGACTGTCGCATGAAATTTATTGATGTCAAGGGTATAGCGAACAGACAATTAAGTAATAAACATATGAATAGTGTGAGATGAGCAGGACAAGTAGACAGAGCAGACGAGAAAGGCCAAAGAAAAGTTAAACACAAAGTTAATCATCATAGGAGTGGAAAGAGTTGATGTATTGGAATGAGACTAACAGTGTTAAAAGATAGAAGAAGAACAGTTTATTTCATCAAAGAGAGTTCTAAAGTAATTGAATTAGCCTCAGTGGACATTGACAAGTAGACAGAAGATTCTTGGAAATACAAAGAGAGAAAAAGGAGCAGACGATTTTAGAAGTATAGGATACAACCATGGTAACTCAACAATAAAATAAGTGAACTATACTCAAATAGTTTGGCGATAGTAACAGAGAAAAATATTTCAGTTTGTCAACTGAAATTCTAAAGCAATTTAATAGGCCTAAGTGGACTTTTGACAACAAGAGAACTATATATATAAATAGTGTTTATGATATGCCTGTAATCTCTATAGTGTGAAGAATTTGTTGTACATACATTTAACTAGTTCTGAATATATATATATGTTATTTTGAAAACAAGTGGAGTGAGTGCTGTTCATTGATTTTTAAATTTATTGCCAACAAGTCTCAGACACCTAATGTAGAAGAATCTTAAGCTCAACAACACCACTATATGTATTTATACTATTAAGAATTACAAGTAAAAGCCTTTAATTGACAAACACAACGTAACATTTGCCAAGGTCAGTGATGACCTTCTAGACATTGTTGGAATGTGACCTCTCCATTCACATCTAGTTTATCTTCATTCAACAGAAGGAAGCTAATGTTGAATAGTCTTAAGTAGTGGTTTCACTAAGAGTGCCTGAGATCTATCAGTGTTTTGGTTGCTTTTGTACCAACTAGGAACTCTGTTTCTCACCTTCGTACTCCTACAGGCACATACTAAGAACCATTTAGTCCTTTGAGAGCTGTTGCAAATTGTTCTTTGTACTATATAAACTTATTGGTCAGCCCAAATTGGGCTCTTCTAGTTTCCCAGAGCTGTAGCAGCAATATTCATTGCTTGTTATTGGCTTTCCTTCACCTAATGCACTGTCAGTTAATACTGATAGCCTTATCTACCTTACCATTTAGCAAGGTATGGGCAATTTGCTCAAAAAGGACTCGACATTCCACAGACAAAGAAGACTGATGTCATGGCTGAGGCATTGGTGGTATAGGCTGCAGCACGTAAGCCATGGGAGGACTGGGATAGCTCTACACTTATACTGTATACCATTGTGGTTTCATTGCATTGCCAGAATTTGTGTATGGTTTGTTAACCTTTTACCTCAGTCTATTGCACAAAAGCAGAGTAACAGTCAGTAACCAAGGTCATCACGTAAACACTAGCCTTGTATCATTACCATAGTTCATAAACATTTCTCTGAGTTTATAAATTAAAACCAGTGTTTTGTAAACAAATGGTTCACATGTTTAAGTTCATATATTTTATTTAAGTAAATGATGTATCCTAGATTTTTTGATGTAGTAAATGGAAAATTACATACATAGGTTTTATTCTGAAGTAACTTTGATGTAAGTACACTGTATGAATAAATCCTGTCACTATACTCTGGAAGTTATAAGATAAATTATACAATGTTAAGTTTCAAGTCTTCAGCAAAAATAACTAATGCCATTATGTAAAAGTTGGAAATAATTGCTATCAGTATTGTACAGTCTCACAGTACAGTTCATTGTTTTATAAAGTAAAAGCTGAGAAGCTTATTTCACTTGAGTGTATATAAGTACACATATAGCTACTATACCAAGACAGTGTTTATATATTTAGTCTATTTGGTTTGATATATTTTAAAACAAAAACAAATTCATAATCCATTGTTATCAAGTTTTCCTTACTGGTTTATTTTATAATACATGTGTTGTTATTTAAATTATTCATCTATTGAATTTTATTTCAGCCCATTTCTTTGCTAGAAAGTTAGGAGTTGAAAAGTCCAAGATAATCAATGTTAAAGGTTTTGATTACCATTCTGCTGAGTTAACCAAACAAGAACTAGAAAAAATTGCACAAGACAGATCTTCGAAAGAAAAATCAACAGAAATGTAACATTTAGTTTAATTTCTGTCGTTAGTTTCAGATGTGTATGAAATTATGTACAGTTGTAGCCAATTAAAGATTGCAAAAGTAATATGAGCTAAATTCTTGAGCTTGGTCTTTTAATATTGACATAAATATAGAAAAATACAACTTAAGCAATGTCTTGGACTCATTAAAGACACTATATAATGCAATAATACATATAATTTAAGGACAACAAAGGACCTGTTGATCCATCTAGACTATCCCATCCACTTTACCAAACTCTAGAATAAAACATTCAAAGCCAGCCTTTATCAATGAAATATTTATCAAGCCTACCCTTAAATTCTCTTAAATTAACTGTATCTACCACATCTTAATCAACCCATTCCAAAACCCAACACCCTGTTAGAAAAATATATCTGTCCGAGTTGAATATAACTCCCACCCTGCCAGAATTTATATTTTTGTCTCCTAGTCTTACAATTCTCACCATTCAATACCTAAAAAAAAAATGATGATACATCAATACTCTCAATTCCATTTACAACATTAAACACCAATATCAGA